TCTGTTTTCCATCTCATTTATTTCTGCTCTAATCTTTATTATTTCTTTTCTTTTGGTGACCCTAGGTTCCCTCTGTTGTTCTAATTGTTGTAGATGCTGTGTTAATGTGTTAATTTTGGTTCTTTCTTCTTTTTGGATGTGTGCATTTATGGCAATAAATTGTCCTCTCAGCACCGCTTTCACCATGTCCCAAAGATATTGTTATGTTGTGTTTTCGTTCTTGTTTGTTTCTAGGAACTTTCTGAATTCACATTTAATTTCTTCTTTTATACAGTCACTTTTCAGCAGGGTGTTACTCAGTTTTCATGTATTCGACTTTATTTCCTTGGTCTTCTTATTATTGATTTCTTGTTTTATAGCATTGTGGTCTGAAAAGATGCTTTGTGGTATTTTGATGTTTGTAAATTTATGGAGGCTTACTTTATGACCTAACGTGATCAATTCTGGTAAATGTTCCATGTGCACTGGAGAAGAATGTATATTGTGCTATTGTTTGGTTGAATTCTCTGTACACATCTATGAGGTCCAGTTGGTTGATTGTGCTGTTTAGTACCTCTGTAACTTTGTCAGGTTTCTTTCTGGTTGTTCTGTCCTCTTTCGAAAGTGGTGTATTAAAATCTCCCATTATAATTGTACATTTATCTATTTCTTTCTTCAATTCTAGTAAGGTTTGCTTCATATATCTTGGTGCTCTTTCATTGGGAGCGTAGATATTTGTTACAGATATGTCATCTTGCTCAATTGACCCTTTGATCACGAGATGGTGACCTCCTTTATCTCTTATGGTGGTTTTTGCCTTAAAGTTTACTTTATCAGAGATTAGAACTGCCATTCCTTTTTGTTTATTGTTGCAGTTAGCTTGGCATATTTTTTTCCATCCTTTAAGTCTGTTTTTGTCTTTGTGTGTAAGGTGTATCTCTTGCATGCAGCATATTGAAGGATCTTCTTTTCTTATCCATTCTGCCACTCTCTGTCTCTTCACTGGTGCATTCAATCCATTGACATTCAATGTAATTTTCAATAAGTATGAATTAATTGCTATTATGTTAATTTTTTGGTAGTGCTGTTTGTTCCTTTGTTCTGCATACCTTCTTGTGCTGAGTTTGCATTTTTTGTGCTATTTCTTATCATTTTTTTCTTAGTTTTCATGTTTGCTTATTCTGTTTGGAAGTTCATTTTCATGTTCAGTTGTTAACTTTCTTTGGGGTTATCTTATAGTCTATTAACTTTTCTTGCCATTCAAGCCTATCTGTTGTATCCTGTAATCTACCTGACCTCCTCACC